GATTAGTGATCCACAGCTGATGGATAAGTTCCTTCTTTCCTTGTAGACAGGGTCTCTTACTGCCAAGTTGTTTCACTATTAGTCAGGGTCAAGCAGTTCACTCCTCAAGGGTAGCTCCTCACTAGATTTGACTTCTGCTACTACCAGTTCCATATGCTGACAGAACTTTTGATAGCTTTTCTGATCTTTTGAAGCTCACAATGTCATAACCCAGTCTGTTACACATCTGGTACTTATTCACCTATTATTAGGAAAGTATAAACACAGAGATAAAAGAAATACCAATGTTATGGATTGTCAGCTACAGTGAAGATTAAATACAAGAGAGCTAGTGACAGGCAAGAGATTGTTAGTATTACTTGCCACTGCACTTCCATCCAAAGGCTCACATCATTTCTTCTTTCTTACTTGAAAATCTCCAGGAAAAGACAAAGAATTGATCTCTTTGAGCCTTTTGTATGCGAAGTTCTAATTCAGGAGCCAATTAGAAGATTTTTTTGTCACCTCATAATGAGCCAACAGGAAATAGTCATAGGATACCTGCAACTGCTCTAAAGCAGAGGCAAAGGGCTTCTCCAGCATCCAGTTTTGGAAGCGGGATCACCCTGCCTGTACAATGACTGTCAGCAGGAAGAAGATATTGCTCGTGCTCTAAAGACTGGGCTCTAATTGGCTGGTCCTCCCATCGTAGAATTTAGCTAAAATGAATAGACCAAAACCCTGAAATTATCTCTCCTTTTGCTTCTATCTCAAGCCACAGAAAGCCTGCTACCTTTGGACTACAACTTGAAGCTTGATCATTGCTAAATCTCTATACACTAAAACTAAACACTATTCCTCCTTCTTGCTCCCTGGTTCATAATTAAGGACACACACAAATAGAAAAAAAACTGTTAAAATTAGTCATAGCTTCTCTATATTGAGCTGGATTTTAACACTATTACTTAAAATAGAAAATTACTTTAAAGAACAGAAAACTCTGTCATCGCAGACAAAAAGAGAGGAGAAAAAAAGTGGTTTCATCAATTTTCTGAATTCTCTGGTAGGGGAAGGTTCACCAATGATTGGAAGCTCCCCATGCTCTGGTCATGTATACCGATCTGTCTGCCTGTCCTGGTAGACCAAGGCACCATCCCTTCTTTCTCTTCTCTTGCCCCCCAGCTCCTCTCTCCATATAGCTGCTATGCTATAACCACTCCTACAGCCAGCATCCCTTTCATCTCTCTTGGGAGAAGTTTAGAATGTCTTCCCTGGCAGAAAGAAGACAATTCTAGCTCCTTCAAACTCTACCTCATAGGAACCCACTCGCACCAGTCTCATTTACGTATTTTTACACAAGGTGATCTTAGAGAGGAGTGGACACTGGAAGCTGTGTTGCCCAGAAAAGGCCTCTTGCAGAAAATGTAGTGCTTTGAGCTGAATCCTCGTGCAAGTATTCCAAATTATCCAATTCCCACTTTAGAAATCCATGGTGAGTACATTCAGAAAATCTTACATGGAGGAAGACACAAAAGTTAGTGTGAACATCAAAATCTATTTCTCATCATAATTTTTAAGACTTTCCTCGTGAGGCAGCTAGGTGGTATGGTAGACAGAGCACTGGCCTTTGAGTCAGGCAGACCTTAGCTCAAATGCGGCCTCAGATGCTTAACACTAGCTGTGTGACTCTGGGAAAGTCATTTAACCCCATTGCCTGGACAAAAGAAAAAAAAAAGAATTTGCTCAGATGCACATTCATGCCTGAGCCCTTAAAACCCCTACTTAAGTGGAAATATCTCCATCTATTTTTTAAATGTTGGTAGTTTTTGAATGCATTAAATCTCAGGAGTACATGAATTTATTTCCGTGCTTACTAAGGTCAAGTTATTTTTTCATACCTTAATAAAATCCTAAAAAAAATGTTTTGCTGAATTTATCACTAAAATGCTCCCCTTTTCTGTAACTCTAGTGTTTTTAGGTGCCATTTTCTCTTCTCACTGAAGGGCTATTAACATTTATGAATTGACTATGAAGCAAAAATTTGTGTCAAAACTCACTTAAACACACACAAATAGAAACTCTTTTTTTGGCATTTATTTAGTGTTTTATTTTTATCCAGTTACATGTTAAAACAACTTGTAACATTTGGTTTTAAAACTTTGAGTTCCAAATTCTCTCCTTCCCTCCCTCTCAATGCCCCCTCATTCAGAACGCAAGCATTTCAATATAGGCTATACATGTATACTCATGCAAATCATATCCATAAGTGATATTGTGAAAGAAAACATAGACAAAAAAAACTCAAGGAAAATAAAGATAGTTTCTAAAAATGTATGTTTCAATCTGTATTTAGACACCATTAGTTCTTTCTCTGGGAATGGATAGCATTTTTGATCATAAGTGTTTCAGAATTGTCTTGAATTGTTGTATTAATACAATAGTTCATGTTGTTGTTCACTCATTTCAGTTGCCACTGAACCTTCATGACCTCATTTGGAGTTTTCTTGGCAAAGATATTGTAGTGGGTTGCCATTTCCTTCTCCAGATGATTTGACAGATAAGGAAAATGAAGTAAACAGAATAAAGTTACTTTCCCAGGGTCAAACAGCTAGTAAGTGACTGAGGTCAAATTTGAACTTATGTCTTCCTGAATCCAAGCCTAGCACTCTATCCACTATACCACCTAGTTGCCCTAATAAAATAATTAGCTCATCTTTTTTGGATCCATGGCATATACTACAATTTTTCTCCAGAACTCAGTGTATGGGAAGATAGGCAATTGTCTTACCTTGTGGTTTCTCTAACCAGCTTCCTCTTCATCTCCCACCCTTACTATCGATTTTCCTACCTCCTCTCATATCTCCAAAGTCAGGAGCTTGATTTTTTTTAACTTAAGTTGTGCTTTACACAGCCACTTATAAACCAAATTAATCCCAGCCCTGTCCAATATAGTTCACTTTTTAGTTCCCTAATCTAATATTGTGTATTTGCTACTTATCATTACTACTTGTCCACAGGATTATTTTATTTAAATAAATATTAGATTGTTTCCTGCCAGGGTCTGAATACTCTTTTTTTTTCAGGCCCTAAGGTTGCCTACCTTGGGCACTAAGAGTACCTGCACATGTCTGATACAGAATTTTCCTAAATTAGGTTTAAGACGATCAGCAGTCCTCTGTCCATTTGATTGTTAATAGTTTAATGCCTACTTCAGGGAACCAGTATATCCACCTTGATAAGGTTGCTCAAATAGAAGCAGTCCTACTATCTATGATATCTAAAAGGATGTAATTAAAATAAGTAAAGGGTTCTTTTTAAAATGTCAATTCTAATTCTGCCAAAATTCTTAATTCATTATTTAAATAGAATATTAATAGGTTTCTTCCTTTAAAGATGATAGATGTCTAATAACCTCATCCTGAGATCTGCTATAATCCACATAATTTAAAAGTAAATTAAGACTCAAAGAAGGGATTCCCATTATTTTTCGCTCACATAATCATCACCAGTTGCTAAGCATTCAAAGCGAAATTTTTAGAAGCTAAAAATAACACAAACACATAACTTGTTTATCCCAGTGAAATTTATTGAAGGATTATATACAGCTGTCTAGATACAAGGATAACAGAGAACATAGATGACTCTGAGGTCACTCCTAATCTTTAATGTGTGTTTTCTTATAAGATACTCAGCTACAGAAGCCAGGCAGCCATGATCTTCTCTGACAATTTTCTTTGTAGCAGTACATGTTCAGTATGGTGCTTTCTGAAGGGTATTGCTCTTATTTAGATGAAGGCCATGCTTCTGACATTACTTATCAGCAAATACCCTCCTTCACTCTAGACCTGAAGATTTGGAACACACTGTGACTGACCTCATGAATAAATTCATGACTAGTCTTTTGAGAAGGTCACCCTTCACATATGTTCAACAGTACACTTACAGGTTGGGTGATTGTTATATCCATAGGAAACCTATACTAGGAAGCCGCCAATTATTATTGTGTCTCAGCCTATGTAAACTGCCCGTTTCAAACGCTAGACTTACATTGAGAACGATCATTAAACAAATTACTATTATCTTAGATTGGAAGAGGGCACAGGATGTACAAGGGCTATATGGTAAGAGTTCTAACAAGTTATTTTATTTATTCATTGAATAAACCAGCTAAGAGGTTACAAGTGATAAGTTAATAATCAGTATTAGTGAACAAAGAAAGTGATTCATTCTACATGCAAGCAAAAAGGGTTATAGTACACTACACTTAAAATAAATGTTTAATTTACTAAGAAAAAATACTTAACAACAAAACCAAACCCAGATTTTGGAAGCCCTGACAAGCAGCAGCAGCAGCAGCAAGTGGCATGCCTGCTAAGCAGCATCATACCCACAGCTTACACTCTACTTTGACACATCAGAGAAGGCCCTGAAGATTGTATACTCTGAGATGAGTTCAGTAAAAGCAATTTTTTTTAAATCCATGCTGGTCTCATTCACCTTTTAGGTATTTAATAGCTATATCTTTAACGCTACATTGGACTGGAAAGTTAACCAGGTCTCAGAGACTTTCAGTCATTTGTTCAAGGTAACCTAGTTAACAGTTATTGGTAGAGAAGCCAAATCCTCATACTCTGACTTAAATGTCAAGGATTTTTACACTAAACCAGGAAAATATTAACCCAAAAGGTTTCAAAAACTCTCAAGGAGAAGAAATCAATTTGGAAGGAGAGGGGAAGGAGGGAGATACCTATTTAACACCGTGCAACATGGATAAAATGAACCAATAATAGATAAAAAAGAATGTAGAGTGTTTTTAAGTAATTAGAGACTATATTCTACTTCTGAAAATTAGCTAAAATCAGCTTTGACAAAAACAATTTTTTTTCTTTTTTCTTTTTTTGGCTAGGCAATGGGGTTAAGTGACTTGCCCAGGATCACAAAATTAGTAAGTTTTCTGTGTGTGAGGCTGGATTTGAACTCAGGCACTCCTGACTCCAGGGCCAGTGCTCCATCCACTGCACCAACTAGTTGCCCCCCATAACATTTTCTTCAAAGCTGCTGTGACATCTTTATTCCTGATACTGTAGATGAGAGGGTTTATAACAGGTGTTAGGATAGTGTAGAAGACAGACACCATCATATCCTTTCCAGCAGTATGATAAGAAGCAGGGAACATGTAGTTATAAACGGCAGCTCCATAAAACAGAACAACAATAGTTATGTGGGAGGAACACGTGATAAATACTTTCCTGCGACCAGTAGCTGAATTCATCTTATAGACTGTGAGGAGAATAAGGGAGTAAGAGCTTAAAATAACTGTGAGAGGGATGAGCAGCATAAGGACACAGCAAACGTACATGACAGTCTCATAGAGTGAGGTGTCTGAGCAGGAGATTTTCAACAAGGCATGAACCTCACAGTAGAAGTGCTGGATCTTTTGGGATTTACAAAATAAGAAGTTCATGGTGATAGGGGTGAGTGTGAAACCATCAATGGAGCCCAAAAACCAACAGACAAGTGCAAGGAACACACAAACCCTATGGTTCATGAAGATGTGATAGTGGAGAGGCTGACAAATGGCCACATACCTGTCATAAGACATGGCTGCCAAAAGGAAGAATTCTGCTCCCACAAGTGTTACATAGAGGAACATCTGGATTCCACAGCTTGGGGCTGATATATTATGAATCCCAGTCACCTGATCCAACAGCATCTTGGGCACAGTGATACAGATATACATCATATCCATGAGGGAAAGCTGACTGATAAAGAAGTACATGGCAGTGTGGAGGTGGTGATCACTTTGAATCAAAAGAACCAAAGTGGCATTCCAGTCAGAGCTACTATGAAAATAATGAATATTAGTGAGTAGAAGAGAGTAGAGTATTTGCTTTGGCTAAAGAGCCCCAACAGGATAAAATTAGCCCCAAAAGTTTGATTCTCCACCCACATTGTTTGCTTCATGTCATCTCACCTAGGGAAGATTAAAAACAACCAAAACAACAAAGTTATTTACATTCTGTCCTTTGTGCATAAATGGTAGATCATCTATTAGTGAAGGAAAAAGACACATTATAGAATGTTCTAATGGGAGCACAGATGTATTTTGGCTAACAGAAGAGATTCTCATCATCAATCTATGATAGAAATGCTCTAACTTGAACCTAAAGGTAGATATATTTTTGTAGAAAATTATTATCAACAGTCATTTTCAAATCCTAGGATTCTGCCAGATTATTTTTATCTAAAAAAGTTTTCGAGAGGAACACTGTAGGCTTAAGATAAACATTGAAAATGTTATAGATACAGTCATTTTCCTTTTATTTTTGTCACATGAGCATCTCAAATTCAATGTGCCCAAAATGGAGCTCATTATGCTTCCATTTTCAAAACTTCCCTATTAGTGTCAAGGACATTACTACACTCTCACTCACCCAGTCTCACAACTTCAGTGTTGTCCTGAACTCTTCACTCTCACTTCCCCCATATTAATAGCATAATGCCATATCTTGTAGTTTCTATTTTTGTAACATCTCTTACATAGGGCCCATTCTCTACATCACTCAACATCCTAGTTGAAGCCATTATCATTTCCTTTTCCAGAAGTTCACCTGGACTAGTGCAATGGCCTCAAATTGGTCCTCCTGCCATAAACCACTCCCTACTCTAATTTATCCTCCATTCAACTGACAAAGTGGTTTTCCTAATGCTTAGGTCTGACCAAGTAACCCCCTACTCTGTAAACTCCAATGTCTTTCTATTTCTCCATGACCAAATGAAAACAAAAAATCCTCTGTTTAGTATTTAAAGCTCTTCATAACTTAATGCCTTACTACCTTTCCAATCTTCTTACACTTTAATTCCCTCAATCTAGCTATTTTGTCCTAGATGTTATTCTTCATGCACAATATTCCATCTCACTTCTCCATGTCCTTATACTGACTATCCCCCTTGCCTGGAATTGTCTCTCTCCTAACTTCCTACCTCTTAGTTTCTCTAGCTTCCTTCAATACTCAGCCTTTCCCAGTTCACCCCAGTTGCTACTTCCTTCCCTTCTGAGGGTCTGCCCCTCTTTTCTACTACCACATCTACTGCTGTATAAACCCACTTATTTGCATGTTATCTCCCACATTACAATATGAGCTTCTTGAGAACAAAGGCTATTTTTGCCTTTCTTTGTATCCCCAGCTTAGCATGGTGAGTGACACATAGTAAATGAATAATAAATGCTTGTTGATTGACTAACTAAAATATGTTAAAAATCAGTCCCTTGGTGGGCAGAAGTGTACCAGGAGATGGGAGCTCACATATAGTAGACCCTTATAAGATCTGTTCATGTTGACCGTAATTGTTTACATATGTGTGAATTCAAAATTCAAAATTGGGAGAAGGGGATTGACTTCCACAGAAGAAAGTACATAAGCATTTATGGAGCACCTACTACATATCATTCACTATGCTAAGCACTTTATAAAATGATACGAGATACAAATATTTCATTTCATCATCACAACAACCTTAAGAAACAGGTGCTGTTGTTATCCCTATTATCTTTATTTGAAGAAACTGAGGTAGACAGCGGTTAAGGGACTTTCCCAGGGGCATACATCTTGTAAGTGTCTGATGTCACACTTGGACATACATCTTTCTGACTCCAAGTCAAGCACTCTATTACTACACTACCTAGGAGATAGATACTGCTAATTCTTTCAACCCAACTCATTGGATTCTTCTTCACTCTACAAGCATTTTTAACTTTTTCTATGAACGTGCATTTGTTCATGATAGACCATGTGCCAGGAATGTGCTCTTCCCTATAGGACATAATATTTAGTTCCAGGAGGGACCTTTAAAATCATCTAGTTTAAAAAATAAATAAATAAAATAAAATCATCCAGTTTAATCACTTTATTTTTAAAATTTTGAAATGATCCAAAAGAATGTTATTAATTTGTCCATAGTTACACAGGCAATAGAGCAAAGCTATGAGTTGAACATAGATCCTCCGAACTCTCTGATTCATTATTTCTCCCCCACTACACCATAGTTCCTGCCAGTGAAAATAATTTAGTTCCTCTGAACTCTAGCTACAGTTTAAAATATTCTATTCATCTTTCCCTGATTCCACTAGTTGATGGGGATCTTTTTTGTTCCAGATTCTTTGGATCAGATGTGTTTACCAGATTTTCCTTTGTGTTATATTTATTTCTGTCCTGTCTTCTCTGTTTGAATTTAAGATTCTTGGGCCTCCTCTTTTTGAGCAACAGTACTTAGGGAAGTGCCTTGCATAACAGATATGTTTTAATTGCATAGAATTGGATAGGATCAAATTTAATTAAAACCATTGTTGCCTTATACTGAACTGCTTGAAACTGATTGACATTATAATTTTAAAGGCTGTCACAGGAAAACATGAATATGGCTCTTTGTTTGTTTGGAATAACCTTCTGAGAACTGTGAAATAGAATTAATAGTACAGATAGGTGTGGTTTACAATGATCTCTGTGAGCAACAAGGTGGTACAGTGGATAGAGCACTGGCCCTGGAGGCAGAAGGACCTGAATTCAAATCGGACCTCACTTACTAGCTATGTGACCCAAGGCAAGTAATTTAACTCTGATTGCCTCTCAAAAATAAATAAATAAATAACGAAATAGACTCTAAACTTCCTTAATTTCAAAGTGAAGCAATTTACATGTTGAAATTATTTATTTCACAGCAATTTCTAATTTGCTACTTCAGAATATAATCCTATGGGTATAAAAATGTTGCTTTAATTCAGGCTGATGAATAAATAAATTACAAAGTAACTTCAAGTTAGAAGATGGACTTGTAGTCAAAAAAACATTTGCGTATTTGCAGAAATTCAAGTATGTTTGACTGAATCTATAAAAACATATTTATCTATGATATTTTTATGAATGAAGCTATATATTTCTCATCTGATCTTTACTTCATCTATGAATTTCTTCATCTATAAAAAATGAAGCTGAACTTATATCAACTTTCAGAACCCTTTTAGTGCTAATATTCTATAATTATATGTCTCTACTGTTAAATTTCCTCAGAACTAGGAAAAATATTGTCAATGATAAGTGATTTTTTCATATCAGTTCCCCCACCTTCAATGAGCATCTACCTTGTCCTTTGCCTACTCAAATACTAGCCTAGACATTTTTGTTTAAAACAGTTAGGGAATTTAACCATTTCTACATTCAGATGCATGAGACAATTAAGCATTGTGCTACTTACCTTCAGTTCTTTCAATAGAAAAAAATAGGTCTAGTTTGATTTTCTAATAAAAATTGGATATATTCACAGCTATTCCCAAAGGACAAACCAGTGATAAATGCAGAGAAAACTTTTAACAAACCCTCAGGAAAATGATCAAAGTGCTCTGTTACTTATTAATATGAAAACTAGGATTACACAAAATCAAAGGAATTATTAAAAGAAATTAAAACTGATACTAAAAGAATCAATAAGATAATAGCTGGCCATCTGTGTTCCATCTGGTTAGAGAAAAATCTGGGAAGTTAGTATAAAAACCAAGTACCAGAGCTGCTGTTGAGAAGCAGAATGTGTAATTAAAGTCATTAGATGGACCTCTTCTGTCCTGGGTCCATTTAAGTGTCTACATAAATGTTACTGTCAGGGTGATGCATTAATGGGTTGTGAGTGAAGGGCAGGGAAGAAGAGATGTGAGTGTGATATGAATCCGAAGAGTGAGTTCAGAATATTGCATCACCCACTTCAAATTAATTATGGAAGAATTCTAGAACCCAGATTGAATTAAAAGAACACTATCTTGGGAACAAGAGGTTTGGATGGGGGCAGGTCATAACCCTGACTCTACCTACCTGTGCAGTCTAGAGAAAGGTATTTATCTTCTCGGAACTTTAGTCTCTTTATCTTGAAAATGAAAGACTGAACTAGACATTCCTTCACCCTCTAAAATTATATGTTTTCTGTATCTACTAGGATATTTGGGAGAATTTGGAAAGTAATGCTTTTGAAGCAATAGAGGCAAATAAGTTACTTTCTTTAAAATGTTCTTGTTGGTTCATTTAGCTTTTGAAAAAACAAACTTTAAGGGGGCAGCTAGTGCAACTGGGTAGCGTACCGGCCCTGCTGTCAGGAGGACCTGAGTTCAAATCCAGCTCAGACACAATACTAGCTGAGTGACTCAGGGCAAGTCACTTAACCCCAGGTCCATACACACACACACACACACACACACACACACACACCACACACACACACTTTTTAACAAACTCCAAATTAACAAAACACTTGATAAAGTATATTACCTGAAAACAACAAAGAAGTTCCATCCCAACTTTGCTCGAAAATTTTTAATAAGGAGACAATCACTACTTCCTAAAGCATCCAAGTCCATCTTTGCATAGCTCTAATTTTTAGGAAACTTGTTCTTTATATAAAATTTAAGTCTACTTCTTTGAAATTTCCACCTAGGTCCAAACTAAATAATCTCAATTCCTTTTCAATGTGACAGCCCTTTAAATACCTGAAAATCATTATAATGTGTTTCTTCTAACCCCACCTTCCCTCTCTTCTCAACACTAAATATTCCCAGTTCCTCAACCAATCTTGGAATGACATAAATTTAAAGCTTTTTACCATTCTGGTTATCTTCTCTGGATGCTCTCCACTACAAATGTATGCTACATAAAATCAATTGGACCCTCATTGCTATAAGGCAATCTTTTTGCATCTCTCTAAAAAATTTGTTATCCTGCCCATCACAGCAATTTTTCCAACCTTTCATCCTTCTCCAAACCTCCCTTGTTCCCATACGCATACCCTCTCAGCTAAATAGTTTGCCTCATATCTTGCTGAAAAACTTGAGGCCATTTACTTTTCTGCCCTGCTCCTCATTCCACATCACTCAGACACCTTTAACCACTTCTTCCTTCTTCAATCCTGTCTCA